GCAGAAGAGCAGTTTAGGGCAAAATGTCCTACTGCGTTATTAATATCCCTTAGTTATTTCAGGCTGATCAGGCTTGCAGTCTCCCAAAGGAGTGGCTGGCAAAGGCTTAAATAAATGAGACAAGTGAAATGATTTTAGGGCTCCAGGAGGGTTCAACCCTCTCACAGAATTCAAGATCCTCTGGGGTAAGACCAAGACTTCTCTGGGCGGCCTGTATTTATTTGGCTTTCAAACAAAGGAGGGGGATACTGAAGAAAATGCAGGAATCTGGGCAGGACTTGGGAATCACTTTATGAAATTCTCCAAGTAATACTTTATGTTAATTTAGGAGAACTATGTTATCTCCAGGAAGACCTTTACCTCAGGAGTGAGGTGCCTGCAGCTACAGTCTCCTTTTAGTTAACTGGGGTTGGAGCCAAATGGCCTGAGCTGTGGCCTTATGTTGTCCTTAGAGGTGTCCCAACTTCACAGGCCAATACAGGCCTCAACAGGGACCAGTGACTCATAGAGGTTCACTTACTATGAGTCCACTGCCCATCTCTGGACAAGGGCCTAGGCCCCAGGCAAACTCACGAGTAAACATGACAAGCCAATTAGTTAATATTAAATCCTGCTCAGAGCTGCTTCATAGTCTCCATAACCTGAGTGACAGCTGCTGCCAAGGCAGCCCCTGTCCATATGAGGGGCCGATATCTGCACAGATCTGCATCATCTCTGACAGCATAGCCCATTTTTTGTGGGCTCTTAAAGCCTCTTTACACCATTTATTTGCATTTTCAAAGGCCAGTTGTTGAACTATTAATTTGCTAGCTTCTGTGTCACTTATAATCCTCTCACTAGCTTGCAGTAAGCATGCTGCAAAATTTTGAAAAGGTTCATTGGGGCCCTGATAAATGGAAGCCAAATTAAGGGATGCCTCACCCTTTGAGGGAAGTTCCCTCCAAGCCCTGGTGACAGCTATCTTAATTAGCTCATATGCTGGTAATTCGAAGGTAAGTTGATTGTGTGTGGTAGCAAAGGCACCTTCCCCAGTTGGCATATCTTTTGTAATTGCTATGTTGTGAACAGTATTACAAGCTGACTGGTCTGTGCAATATTCAAAGAAATTTCCTTTCCACAGCCAGTAATCACCCAGACTTAAACATGCTTTAGCTTTCCTTTCCAATCATTTGGGCGGGGGGCTGGGGATTTAGCTCAGCAGCAAAGCGCCTGCCTGGCAAGTGCAAGGTTGTGAGTTCGGTTCCCGGTACCGGAGAAAAACCAAAAAAAAAAAAAAACAAAAAACAATCATTTGGACGCCATAATCTGTTGTCCTAGGATTTCTACTAAACTCAAGGTAAAGGGAGCAGTAGGACCATAAGTAGCAACAGCTTGTTTTAACTCTTTTAAGGTTTTAAAAGGGATAGCTTCATAAAGATGTATAGCGTCGTGGATTCTCAGGGACTTGAACTTCAGTAAAATGGTAGAGAGGTTGAAAACCCTCCATGGACTCTCCTGCCCATCTGGCTTCTTTTAGTGTCGATTGCAAGGGAGGCAGAGAAAATGGCTTTACTCCCTGAGAGGCAGAAGTTCCAACCTGTGACGTGGCAAAATTTCCCCAAGCTGAAAAGGCTGAGATTGCTGTCTGTGGCTCAGTCAAATGCAAAGGGGGTGAGGTCAGGTGGAGGTCCTCTGTCCTGATGGGAGGAGAGGAACTGCCCAAGAACTGTATACTGTTTATTTATTTATTTATTTTTTGGTCTTTTTGAGACAGGGTCTCCCTATGCAGTTCAGGCCGGGCTTGAGTTCACTTTATAGCCCGAGCTGCTCTCGAACTCACTGGGATCCTCCTGCCTCAGTTTCCCAAGTGCTGGAATTGCAGGCGTGCACCACCATGCCCGGCTATACCGTTTACTTATACCCTTGGGAGGTTGATGTCAATTTCAACCTCTCTACCCAGCAGTCAGCTAACACGCTGCCACAGCTTGTTTACGTGGCTCCAGGAGCTCCCCATGTTCTCAGGCTGCTTTGTCTTAGCCCTGCATGCATGACTGATTTCCAGCTTCAGCTGCTCCCAACAAGAAAAAAGAATTTTAGGATGGTGACATGAGCACTAACCCACACGGGAGCCTGCCTGCCAGGAGCTGTGGGCTGCTCTGGTCACACATCGTGGCTGTGGCCTGGGCTTCTCGTTGGCCGAGGACGTGACCTCTCCCAGCAGCGGCTTCCTGGGTTGGGCGCCATAATGACTGGTGCTGTCTGCACCAGCTCGGGAGAGAGTGATTCAGGTCGATTTCATTTGCTTTCTGGAAACTTCCGCAGCAGACAGTTTCCCATGTGCCTCAGTGGTGTGTGGGACATCCTGCCTCATGTGCTGCCAGCTGGCTGAGCTCACTGGGGGCCCACGTGGAACTCGAGGTGGCCAGGGAAGCCCCGGGGTGTTTGGATGTGGCCTGGGGAGAGGCAGACAACAGCCAAGCGCCCTGCAGGACAGTGATACCTAGCTGAGGCCGGGGGGAGGAGCTGGGGACAGTAGGGGCTTGGGCGGCAGAGCCTGGCTCCAGAAGGAGCAGCCCAAGGACAGGGTCCGTTGTCATGAGGCCGGGAGCTGTGGTCCGCCGAGCCCAGTGATCCCAGAGCAGACCTGCAGGTCACACACCTGGGCTCCTCTGAGGTTCCTCAGGCTGCCCGGCCGGGCACACAGGCGACAGTGAGTGAAAGCAGCAGGCAGGGGTGGGCGGAGGGGCAGTGCAAGTGCAGAACCTGGCAGGTCCTAAAACTGGAACACGGAGCTGCCTGTGACCCCACAGTGCTACTGCTGGCCAATACCCAAGGGAAATGGGAACGTTGCCCACCCAGAAACGAGCACACAGATGGGTGGCAGCATTGTTCATCACAGGGGCCACGAGCTAACCAAGCAATCCCGGGGTGCAGCAGTGCTCCCGACCGACGGGGAGGGCAGTACTGATGCAGGTGGAGGCCTGACGCTGCCTGAACAGCAGATCCTCGGAGACAAAAGCTGAGCTCGGCTGGAGGGGGTGGGGCGGGCTGGGGGAGATGGGAGAGGTGCAGGGTTTCCTTTCAGGGTGGTGCAGATGTCTCAAAAGTGATTCAGATGCTCGCAGAGCTCTGTGACTGTCCTAAAAGCCATGAAATTGTGCATTTTAAATGGATGGATTGTATGGCATGTGAACCGTACCTCAAAGTGGCTGCGGGGGAGGGGTGCTCGTGGCAAACACGCATGCACAGTGCTTCTAAAGCAACACACTGTGGCTGCCATCACAGAGAGGACGCTCCAGAAGCAGCGAATAGGAACTGCTGGACCCTGAAGCCCAGGGCCAGAAATGGCCGTGATGTCACTCCTGCTACATTTGACAGCTGAGGGAGGCCTGGCCAACCTAGATTCATGGGAGGGGCAGAGATGGGGGCGGCCTGATCCATCGTGTGCACCAACAGTAACGGCTGTGGCTGACCCCAGTTCACAGAGGCGGACACCGAGGCACCTAATCAACCTTGCCCGGCCAGCAGGAGGCAGCGCCTGGCCAGGGACCTGAGTCCTCTGACCAGCTGCGCTCTCAGCACCCTCCACCCCTGCCAGCTAAGTGGGCCCAGGGAGGACTCGGAGCTCCTGTGTTCTCCATGTGCTTCCCCGCCTGGCGCTGTGGCTGACATGTGCCTGACATGGGAAAGATTTATTTACAGCATGGACGGAGCACTTCCTGTGTGCTGGGGTGCTGTCCAAAAAAGTTATAACAGCCTGATGGCGCACGCCTGTAATCCCAGCACTCAGGAGGCTGAGCCGGGAGGATCACTGTGAGTTTGAGGCCAGCCTGTGAGTCTGAGGCAGGAGGATAACCGTGAGTTCGAGGCCACCCTGAACTGCATAGTGAGACCCTGTTTCAAAAAAAAAAGTGCATGAACATGATCTCTTCCCTCAATGTATCCTAACTGTACTTTTACTTTTCACCTAAAGAGAGCACTTTATGGCTTCTCTTTGGTGTATCTAAGTTGCTAACATTGCTATTCCTTTTTTTTTTCTGTCTGAGAAAGGGTCTCACTATGCAGTTCAGGCTGGCCTTGAGCTCACTTTGTAGCCCAGGCTGATCTCAAACTTGCAACGACCCTCCTGCCTCAGCGTCCGTCCCGAGTGCTGGGATTACAGGCGAGCGCCACCATGCCCCGCAGCATCTCTATTCTTGCCCTTGGTACCTCTTGAGTAAATAAGGGTCACTTGGACACAGACACTGCTCCCTGCCCACAGTGTTAAAAGGACATACTGCTGAGCCACCGGCAGGGGGCAGCGTATGCAGCCGGATGCGCGCCAGAGGGTCAAAGAGATGATTCGCCAGAGCCCAGAGACTTTGGCCGCTGCTCCAGCAGCACAGAACATTCTAGAATTCTTCATTTAATGACCAAAGAGCACACTTGTCCTTGGGTAACCGAAACAGAAGAGTGAAACCGCACATGAAGGGCGGGTAGCATAGCACACTTAGTTTTCCCGGTACCCGATGAGGTCACTCTGTTAGAATGGACTCTACAGATGGCTGTGATTGCAGGTTATGTATGGACAGAGATAGGCATTTCTCACTCTCTCCTCTCTTTCTTTCTTCCTTTTGTATGACATTGTCCTTTTTGTTTTGTTTGCGAGACAGGGTCTCGCTATGTAGTGCAAGTTGGCCTGGAACTTACCATGTAGCCCAGATTGTCCTCAAACTCAAGCAATCCTCCTGCCTCAGCCTCCCGAGTGCTGGGGTTACAGGTATGCGCCACCATGCCCAGCATGCTATAGGCATTTTCAGACTGGCTTAATCATTCCTATTGAGAAACGTGCAGAGAGGCAGAGTAGCTTGATGAGCCCTGCAGCACTGGTAAGAGCCGGGCCAGGACTGGGGCTGGTTGCAGACTTCAGTCTCTGCTCTGGACAGCTGGGCAGACTGAACAAGGGAAGATGGGGGTAGCAGGAGTACATGAAACCCCTCCGCCAGCCATCCCTCGTGACCTGTGTCCTCCTCCTCCCACAGCCACCAAGGAACTCAGGGCCACCTGCCCACCCCTCTCCACCTTCTTCTTCCTTTTTGTCGTCTTCGTGGTGTCCACCGTCTTCCACTGCTACCAGCGCCTGGCCCTGGTGCCCACCCCTTGGGCCTCCTCTCCCCGCGTGCTGCTGGCCCCCGGACACCTTCCGAGGGAGGGCATGTTCACCGTCAACGCCATCGGCCGCCTGGGCAACCAGATGGGCCAGTACGCCACGCTGTACGCCCTGGCCAAGATGAACGGGCGGCCGGCCTACATCCCCGCGCACATGCACAACACGCTGGCCCCGCTCTTCCGCATCAGCCTCCCGGTCCTGCACGGCGCCACGGCCGGCAGCGTCGCCTGGCGCAACTACCACCTGGACGACTGGATGCAGGAGCGCTACCGCCACATCCCCGGCCGCTACGTGCGCCTCACGGGCTACCCCTGCTCCTGGACCTTCTACCACCACCTGCGGCCCGACATCCTGCGCGAGTTCAGCCTGCACGAGCACGTGCGGCGCGACGCCCAGGCCTTCCTGCGGGAGCTGCGCGTGGGCGGCGCGCGGCCGCGCACCTTCGTGGGCGTGCACGTGCGGCGCGGTGACTACGTGCAGGTGATGCCGCGCGTGTGGAAGGGGGTGGTGGCCGACCGCGGCTACCTGCGGCAGGCGCTGGACTGGTTCCGCGCCCGCTACCCCGCGCCGGTCTTCGTGGTCACCAGCAACGGGATGGCCTGGTGCCGGGAGAACATCGACGCCTCGCGCGGCGACGTGGTGTTCGCGGGCACCGGCGTGGAGGGCTCGCCCGGCAGGGACTTCGCGCTGCTCACGCAGTGCAATCACACGGTCATGACCATCGGGACCTTCGGCATCTGGGCCGCCTACCTGGCGGGAGGGGACGCCGTGTACCTGGCCAACTACACGCTGCCCGACTCGCCCTTCCTCGAGGTCTTCAAGCCCGAGGCGGCCTTCCTGCCGCAGTGGGTGGGCATCGCCGCCGACCTCGGGCAGAGCAGCCCCTAGCCCTGGACCTGGGCGTCCCTTGACCTGGTCCCCCAAAAGCCAGCGTATGTGGGCTGAAGCATGTGGACCCAGGATCCCTTAGGGAGTTTGAGTTCAGCCACGCGGCCGCTGAGTGACCTTGCACAAATGACTTCACCTCCCTGTGCCTTCGCATGCCAGGACTGGACGAGCTCGCTTCAGGCTGTGCCTAGGAGACTCCTCGGTGCCTTGTAAATGCGTGGGAAGTGCTGGCCGCTGTCCCGGGGAGCTGGCGGGACGTTTGGAAACCTGGAGATCCCACATCACCTCCCGGGAGGCACCGGCAGCCAGGCCGCTCTGCCCTGCAGTCTGGGCGGCTGGAGCTCCGGGCGGCTGGGGTTGAGCCCGGTGTCAGAGGCCTCGGAGTTCAACAGGTGAGGGGAGGCAATCAGAGAGCCCGGGGTGGGGGGACGCTGGCCGGGGCCTGGGCACCCACATCAGAGCCCCCCACCCTGCCCGGCCTCAGCCAGCACCTAGCGCTGCCCTGAGGAGCCCAGTGGGCACTGCGCTGTGGCAGCCCGGACACCGCGGAGTGCGTGGTTTACAAGGCTGGGAGGCGCCAGGTGCTGGGAGCATGGAGCCCGCACCCACTTGTCAGCTGGAGGGGCCTGGTGAGGGGCCGCGGCAGGGCACAGGGCACCCCAGCTTGGGTCTCAGCTCCTGTTACAGCCACTGTCCTGCTGGGTCAGTGCCTCTCGCTGTGGCCTCATTTAACCTCCTCACCTCCCAGGGTCCCACTCCCAAGGCCCAGGGTTGATTCATATTCCCACCTCCAAGCCGGGTGTGGTGGAGCTCGCCCCTAATTCCAGCACCGTGGGAAGCTGAGGCAGGAGGATTCCAAGTTTGAGCCCAGCCCGAGCAATTTAGTGTCCAATGGAGAGCATGTCTCAAGATAAAAAATAAAGAATTTTAACAGGCCAGGGATGTAGCACAGCATGAAGCCCCTGGGTGCGATTCCTAGTAGTAAAAATAAAAGTTCCCACCGCCTTCCTCCCTCACACTGGGAATTAACGTCCTCCGTGAGGGGCAGTGCAGACCTAAGCTGGGGTGACCGGCGTTCCTCGAATGCAGTTCTGGTTTCCTAACTTTGGGGGACTGAAACCCGCGATCCGGAATTGGAGCTGGGCTGCTGCCCATCCAAGTATGTGAGGAGCCCAGCACACGGTCATTTACATTCGTTTAACACTTCCCCCATATGTGCGGTTTAGAAAACATTTTGATCACGTCTCCTTCCCGCTGGAAAGTCTTTCCAAGTTATCTCCGCGTCTCCAGTTCTCAGCTCACTTCTGAGATTGAGCACATTCTCCTTCATGGAGAAAGAATAATGTTTGTGCTCAGAGCTATTTTGGGCCTCAGTCTCCTCCCTTAAGCCTCGGTGTAGTTGTGTAGTGCGGGTTGGGGTGTGAAGGAAGGGGTTGGGGGGCTCTGTCACCTCTCCTGCTGTATAAATCACCCCTAGATCTAGCAGTTTAAATCGATAACAGTTGGGGGTAGTGGTGCACACCTGTAATCCTGGCACTCGGGAGGCTGAGGCAGGAGGATCACAAGTTTGAGGGCCGCCTGGGCTACATAGCAAGACACAGTCTCAGAAACAGTCAAGCTTTCCTGCGGGCTCTGTGGCCAGGTGTGGAGAGGGGCCCTGGGGGCGCTGCTGTCTGACATCCACTCGGGCTGTGCCATCTGAAGGCCTGCTCGGCTGGCTGGGCATCTGCTCCTAGCCAGGCTGGAAGCTGCAGTGTCCTTTGCCGCCTGACCTCAGAGTCACACGCTGTCCCTCCTGCCATCCCCTGGTGCTCAGGAAGCAGCCCTGCTCCCCACGGGAGAGGCCTGTGCCAGAGCCTGATCCTGGGCGCTGGCAGGGAGGCTGGCAGCTGTGCCGCATCAGAGTCCCAAGCCATAGGAAGCGATTGGCCCGAGGTCCTGCTGGCCGGAACTCCAAGATGGAGACGGAGCGGTCCACAGGGCTGATTCCTCCTGGGGACCACGAGGGGGGGGGCTTCCCCGCCTGGCTCCTGCTGCAGCTGGCTGTCTTCTGTGTCTTTTCCTACCTTCTCCTCTGTGTCTATGTCCAGATCTTCTGACTTTTGTTTCGTTTTTTTGGTACTGGGAATTAAATCCAGGACCTCACACATGGTAGGTAAGCACTCTCCCACCGAACTACACTCCTAGCCCTTTTTATTTTTATTTTTCATTTTGAGATAGAGTCTCAGTGCCAGGACTTGAATTTGGGATCCTCCTGCCTCAGCCTCCTGAGTAGCTGGGATTACAGCAAAATTTCCTCCTCTTATAGGGACAGTGGTCATAGTTAGATCAGACCCACCCTAGTGATTAACGATCCTGTCTCTAAACAGTCACATTCTAGGGTACTCAGGGGGCTAAGACTTCAACAACTGAATTTTTGTGGGGGCACAACTCAGCCCAGCTGGCTGCTCTGGATTCCCAGCTCTTCCCTGAGAGCTGGCTGTCAGTCTCCTGCCCAGTGGAAAGTGGAGGAGGAAAGAGTGAAGTTGGGTGTTTACTCTGCCAGGATGGTCACAGCTTCCCGCAGTCGCTGGCCCTCGGGAGCCACACCAGGTCACTGTTGTCCCCACACCCCACCCACAAATTAGTCATCTTGTTTAACACACATCACAGAGCCATGTGACCTGGTGCACACCTGTAATTGTAGCACTCTTGGAAGCTGAGGCAGGAGGATCTCAAGCTCAAGACAAGCCAGGGTAACTTAGTGAGCCCCTGTCTCAACATAAAAAAGTGCTGGGGATGTAGCTCAATGTGAAGCCCAGGGTTCAATCTCTAGTCCTGAAAAGAAAAAATAAAACACCAAACAGGAATCCTGGGGCCCCTGGCCGGTGTCACCCATATTTTGGTGTCACACAAAAGACTTCCTTGTGTTGAGGTTTCACTCGGACATGGCCGAAAGTCTCACGGCTTAGCAGGGTGAGGACTGTGGGCCCCGGAGTACGGTGCAGACAGGCAGTGCGCCTGCCTGCAGTTGCCTTGGGGGACAAGGTTGAAGCCCACTGAGCTGTCCCAGATCCCAGGGCCATTTTCCTGCCCCGGTTCTTTCTCCAACATCTTTGGGGTGGTGTGGGTGAAGACTGGGGAGCCCCTCCCAGAAATGGGGTGATAGCACGGGCACCCCTGGCTCTTGGGAAGTGGGCGGTGCCTGTGATGCACGGAATTTAGCACCTGCTGGCCCAGCGGGCAGGGCACGGGCTCTCCCGCCTGTGTTTGCTGTGCTTCGCTCCTTCAAGGAAGCGAGCAGCTTTTATTGCATCGAAGCCACAGCAGAAGCTGGGGGGCTGCCGGCCGCACAGCCCATTAGCCGGGCGTGGTGGCGCATGCACACATTCATTCAGCAAATATTTACTGAGCTCCTTGCCGAGGCTGCGAGATCCAAGACAGAAGTCGGCCAGCAGGTTGGGCCACTCATCCTTGTCCTTCTCCTCCTTTTTTTTTTTTTTTTTTTTGGTCTTTTTGAGACAGGGTTTCACTATGTGGTTCAGGCTGGTCTTGAACTCACTTTGTAGCCCAGGCTGACCTCGAACTTACAACAATCCTCCTGCCTCAGCCTCCCAAGCTCTGGGATTACAGGCGTGTACCATCATGCCTGACCTCATCCTCATTCTCTGCAGAGAGGAAGCTGGGGACCGAGCCGGTGGGCAGCGCCTCAGCCTGCGTGGGGCCCACGGGACGTGCTTATTCTGGGGAAGCCCTGACCCCCTCAGTTCCTGGGCGGCAGGCCCCGGCATGTGTGGCCTGGTGTGCAGACAGTCGTTGCAGATTTGATCAGTTAAGATGAGGCCCCCTGGAGTAGGGTGGCCCCCAATCCTCTGCGACTGCAGACAACACAGACACATGAGGAGCAAATGCCACAGGATCAGAGGTAGAGGGTGACCCGGGCCTTGGAACGGCGAAGGCACATTTTCCTGCTGTCCCAAGCCACGCGTTGTGTGTTACTCTGCCGGGGCAGCCTGGGAAGGGAAAGGGCTTCACCATGCTGAGGACAACCACGGAGCAAACGAGAATGCCGCGGCTCGGCAAGCAGGCAGACCAAGGGTGCTGGGGGCCACCTTGGTTCTAGAACTCACACTTAGCATGTGTGAGGCCTTGGGTTCAACCCTTAGCACTGTGCGCGCGCGCGCACACACACACACACACACACACACACACACACACACACACACACACACACGAGCAGATAGGAAGCCAGGCGTGATGGTGCACACCTGGGAGGCTGAGGCAGAAGGATCCAAGTCTAAGCCCAGCGTGGGCAATTTAGAAATTTAGCAAACATAAAAAGGGGTTGGTGATGTAGCTTAGTGCAAACGCCCTGGGTTCAATCCCCAGTGCCACAAAAAATACAAAGAAAAGATGATTAAGCACTGAAGTTTTTTCTCTTGGCGCTGGCTGGGGGCCTGTGTTCTGGCCGCAGGGAGCAGTCAGAGCCCAGGAAGACGACGATGGTGTGAGTCCAGCAGGGCGTGAACCTGCTAGGTGTCAGATATGCTGAGTTCATGGTCCCCACGATCGAAGAATGACTTCGAAGGAACAATGGAGGTTAAGAGTAGGACAAATGTCTTGAGAGACGGCTCCCACCTGAGAGACAGGAGGGGACCCGAAAGTGGGCTGTCAGGGAGCCCGCTTCTCAAAGGAAGTTTTACACGGCAAAATCAGGAGGTGGGCACACGTGGGACAAAGCTCTGATCAATCAATAAGATTCCAGGTCTAGCCACGTAGGACTCTGAGCCGGTGGGGTGAGGAGCGCAGGTGTGCCTGGGAAGAGCAAAGACCTTTCTAGGAAGGGACGGATGGGGAGGTCCTGGTCACCCACCGAGCCCTCTGATGTCTATCTAGGCTTCCTGGACAGGGGTTACTAATTATAGTGCAATTTCTAATTTATTGCCTTTCCCCAGGGAGGTGTACAGGCCTGGTCACTCTGTCTTTATTTTGAGGCCTGGCCTTCGGCAGATGCGCCTCTGAGCCCCGCAGGGCCCGGCCCTGTCTGAGTAGGGGAGAGAGAGAGGTAGCTTTCTCCTGCATCTGCGTTGTCACCTTCCCTGTGGGACCCCTGCTTCCCAAGAGAGCAGAGCCAAACAAGGGTGAGAGGGAGCTGGGCTTGGGGTCCTGGTGGGGCTGCACGCTCCCCGGGGGAGCCTACCTTGTGCAGCACCACCGCTGGGCTGTGGATCCGAGGCCCAGCTCAACTGGCTGCAGGGCTGCGCCCCAGGGTTCCCACCCCTCACCCTCCGGCCTGCAGTGGGAGTTGCCTCGGACCTGGCATCTTCCAGCTCAGCAGCTCTGGGCCAAGCCCTGAGTGGAGCCAGCTGGTCCAAAGCTGTGGCTGGGAGGGACCTTGGGATGGGGCGGGATGGGGGGGGACTGGGGGGAGGGGCGGGGCCTGCAGGAAGCTGGGGCGAGGGGAGACAGAGCGCCATGCAGGGCTGATTCTGCACTCCAGCACCCTGCAGGTCTCAGTCCAAATGCTGCTCCTCTCGGAGTCCTCCCAGGAGCCCCTGAGCTTCCCTCTCTCTGCCCCAAGTTTTGTTTCCTCTCTAGTGCCAGTCACAGAGGCACCTCCTTCTCCTGCGTTTGCTCCCTGGGGCCTGTCACCCCATGGGCACAGCTGTACGGGCCTTGTTGTGTCAGGACCTATGTGTCCCCAGCCCACTCGTCCACCATGGTCCTTTATTCAGCCTCAGTGGCAGGCAGGAGGCTGAGGCAGGAGGATTGCCAGGAGTTCTAGGCCAGCCTGGGCTACATAGTGAACTCAAGACCCATCTAAACCGCAAAGCAAGACCCTGTCTCAAAAAGACAAAAACTAACTAAATAAACAGAAGCCCCTCTATCAGAGGAACACATCAGGGCTGGGGCAGCATGAGGGCTTGACTCAAATATAGTTTTATTTTATCCTTTTCTTTATTGAGATAAAGCTCACATTAGCCAGACTGGGTGGTGCACACCTGTAATCCCAGCACTCTGGGAGGCTGAGGCAGGAAGATCAAAAGTTTGAGCTCAGCCTGAGCAATTTAGCAACTTAGCAAGACCCCATCTCAAAATAAAAAAAATTTTTTTTTGTTTTGCTTTTGTTTTTATTTTTATTTTAGTTTTTGTTTTTTGTCTTTTTGAGATAGGGTTTCACTGTGCAGTTCAGGCTGGCTTTGAGCTTACCTTGGAGCCCAGGCTGGTCTCGAACTTGCAACAATCCTGCCTCAGCCTCCCGAGTGCGGGGATCAGAGGCCTGCACCACTGTGCCTGGCTAACAAGCATGGAATGGATGGAATGGCTACTGAACACAAAGAACCTCTCGTGGAGGTACAGTCCAGGGACCACAGGGACAGGGGACAGAGAGAACGACGAAATGCTCCCCACACTTCCCCTGCCTTCCCTGGGCTTTGGGGGGACACAGGCTGACACGTCTGGCCAGAGCGCAGATCCTGAGCAGTGGGTTAAAATCGAGAGCAGGTGTCTAAGTGTCTACAGAAGCAAGTTGGTGACAGAGCCGTGCCATTACCTGAATGCCACTGTATCCAGTGGGCGCCTTGTACCCAAGCCGAAGATAATGAACGCGCAGAAGGCACCACGCTCTAATTATTTCACTGCACGCCACCTTCCGCACCGCTATTGGCTGTGCGCCAGGTGCGTCACGTAGCTGCCCTGTGCATCTCCTTCCACAACAGCATGTTGGCGGCGCAGCGCTGGGCACGAATCTGTTCTCTGCGCCCATCGGCAGCGGCGCCCTCATTCGGCAGCGGAGAGCGAAAGGGCTCGGACCCCGGGCCGGCGGGCAGCGCTGCGTCCCAGCACGCGGGCGGTCTGCAGGGCTGGCTTGGGGGGTCACGATGGCGTCAGATGCCCTCAGGGCAGTTCTGGCGGTCCCCTTTGGGTGGCCGGGGCCAAGGATGCTACATGTTAGGGAGTGAAAATCTGCCTGCATCCCTGTGAGTTCTGAGCGTCACGTTACATTCACGTTGTGACTGGAAAATACAGTTCATGTTTAAGAATTTTTTTAAAATCACAGCAAAAGCACATGGCCATGAATCCTCCTCAGAACCCTCCCCCTGTCCTCCGACACACTTATCCCGTCACTCTTGCGGCTTTCTGCAGCAGTTCTGGAGTCCTCTTTCGTGTCTTTCGTTGTGCTGTCAGGGCTGCTTCAGTGTCCTGGATCGATTCGAAACGTTTGCATTTCCTGGTTATTCTGACTTGGGGGAAGAGCAAGAACTGACGTGGTGCCAGATCCGGTGGACAAAGTGGATGAGGACACAGTGTCACGTTTTTAAGACCCTGGCTTTCTGCTGGGTAGCCCCTGGCCACAACATTGAGCTTTTTTTAATTTTAATTTTAATTTTTATGTATTTATTTATTTGTCTTTTTGAGACAGGGTCTTGCTATGCAGTTCAGGCTGGCCTTGAGCTCACTTTGTAGCCCAGGCTGGTCTCAAACTCACAATGATCCTCCTGCCTCAGCCTCCCGAGTGCTGGGATTATAGGTATGTGCCACCATGCCTGGCATTTTTTTTTTTTAAATACAGGGTCCCTGTGTAGGTCAGGCTGGCCCTGAGTTCACTATATAGCCCAGGCTGGCCTCAAACTCGCAGTGATCTTCCCTACCTCAGCCTCCCAAGTGCCTGGTGCAGTGTATTTTTTATCATACCTCAGAAAGACACTCAGAAAAAGGGACTTTCAGAACTGCTTCAGAAAGTGGCAGTAGCCGAGCATGGTGGTGCACACCTGTAATCTCAGCACTTTGAGGCCAGCCTGGGCTACATAGTGGGTTCAAAGCTAGCCTGCACTACATAGCAAGACCATGTCTCATAAAAAAAAACCCACAAAAAAAACAAAACAAGCAAACATCAGAAAGTGGCAATAGCTGGGCATGGTGGTGCGTGCCTGTAATCTCAGCACTTGGGAGGCTGAGACAGGAGGACTGCTGAGTTCAAGGCCAGCCTGGGCTACATAGCAAGACCCTGTCTCAAAGAGAAAAAAAATATAGCAAGAGCAATGGCCTAAGTTAAGTGAAGGGGAGGATTTTGAGGAAGATTCACGGCACTGTGTCTTTTACTCTAATAAACTTACTTAAACATTCACTGTATATTTTCATCACACTTTCTACAAAGGGGAAGTCTGCTCCTACTTGAGCCCAGCACCTGTCCTGCACATTTTCTGAGCTGCACCTGCCATTTCTCACTTCTTTGACACGAATTCTCGGGAAACCGGGCCCCGCGACCTGCAGTCTGCCTCCCGCTTCCCTGCTCCGGGATGTGGCTGACCGAGTCCTCACCCCGTGGTTCACAAGCACTTTATCCTCCTGTTTCCTGAAAACTGGTGGTGAAGCTGGGTGCCTGGTCTGATTTCTTTTTTTTTTTTTTTTTAAGAGATTCACAGCTGAGCCCCTCCTGTAATTGTAGCCCTCAGGAGGCTGAGGCAAGAGGATTGCCACATGTTTAAGGCCAGTCTGGCTCCATAGTGAGCCCCTACATCTGAAAAAACAAAGAGGGCCCGGCATGGTGGCGCACGCCTCTAATCCCAGCACTTGGGAGGCTGAGGCAGGAGGATTGTTGCAAGTTTGAGACCAGCCTGGGCTACGAAGTGAGCTCAAGGCCAGCCTGAGCTGCATACTGAGACCCTGTCTCAAAAAGACAAAAAATAAATAAATAAATAAATAAATAAATAAATAAATAAACAAACAAACAGCAAGAGAGAGGGGAAGATTCCCGGCTGCTCAGTGAAGCACCTGCTGCTTCGCTCTGGTGCCGAGTGCCCACCGGTCCTTGTTCAGTGTCAGAGTTTCCGGGGCTCCCAAGGCTCAGGCGGTGCCTGCCTCAGCCTCCTGGGTACACTTCCTTATGAGCCCTGTCCACAGGCCAAACAATGTGACCATTCATAGATTGCGGTATCTTAATGGATGCAAAAGGGCAATATCCTGAGTGTTTTTTCAAAGAAGGGAAACTAAGATGAGTTGCTATTTGCCAGGCTTTTTCTCATCTCTCCTCTCCTCTCTTCCCTCCCTCCCTTCCCTTCCTTCCTTCCTTCCTGCTTTCCTCCCTCCATCCCTCCTTCCCTCCCTCTCTACAATTCTAGGGATTGAATCCAGGGCCTTTGAACTGATCTATAACCCGAGCCACTTTTTTTTTTGGAAGACAGAGTCTTACTAAATTGCCCGGGATGGACTTATAATGTATAATCCACCTGCCTCAACTTCCCAGAGTGCTGAGATCACAGATGGTATTCATAGCCTCATCCTTGCCAGATATTTTCTTTTTTTTTTTTTTTTTTTCTTGCCACGTATTTTCTAAGACTTGGCCTGCCTGGTTTTAAATCCCAGCTTCCCGTTGGGGATGGTGACACATACCTGTGATCCCAGCACTCAGGAGGCTGAGGCAGGAGGATCGCTCTGAGTTCAAAGCCAGCCTGAACTACATAGGGAGACCTTAACTCAAAAAAAAAAAAAAAAAAAAAGCCAGGTGTGGTGGTGCACGCCTGTAATCCTAGCACTCAGGAGGATGAGGCAGGAGGATCCTTTCGATGTAGCCTGGGCTACATAATGAGCTCAAGGCCAGCCGGAACTATATAGCGAGACCCTGTCTCAAAAAGACACACACACAAAAAAATCCCACCTCCCCTTGCTGGCTGTGTGGTCTTGGGCAAGTTACTATATCTTTGTGTGCTGTGGTTTCCCACTCTGAACATGGGGCTACTAAAAGTGTGTCCTCTGAATGAGGTCAGTAGATGACAGTCTGCCATAGCTGTTCGTGTTAGGGCACCGAGGGTGCCACTGAGTTGGAGCTGGCCCCCTGGAGTCTGTCCCCTCCTCTGGCGACCTTCCTGGCCTGCGTCGGGGTGGCTCAGGCTGAGTGGCGGCCCAGGAGGGAGGGGAGGGGCCTGAGTCAGGTACACCCTGGGCGGGGCTTCTGTCCGCAGGTGCAGAACTCAGCTGGTTCTTTGGCCTTGAATAAAGAAAGACGGGAGCAGGAGGGAACGCAGAGCCACTGCCCGCCAGGCCCCTGCCGCGCATCCCCGCTTCCTGCAGCCAGAGGCAGGTGAGAGAGGTGGGGGGCTCTGCTCACACCCTGTACCCACCAGTGCGTGCACACGCTCCTGGGCAGAGCTGGCACCAGCCCGACCCCAGGGGCTGGGGGAGCAGGACCTGGCTGGCCCCGGGGACTGCGAATTGAACCCTGGGCTTTCGTGCTGAGCTGCATCCCCAGCGCTTTTTCTTTCTTCTTTTGAGACAAGGTCTCACTAAGGCACTAAATTGCCCAGTCCTCCTTGCAATCCTCCTGCCTCAGCCTTCCACAGTGCTGGGATTATAAGCGTACGCCGGATCACTCCTTTAAACGCAACTGCCCCTCCCCTCTCTGTGCGGGCCATGGCCTCCTTGCCTGTCTCCGGTTTCCAGGAGCCCCGGGACTGATGTGCAGTCAGGAGGGCTGCAGGGCCGCAGTAACCGGATTTTCCGGTTTCCGTCTCTCCTGGGGACAGCAGGGCATCAGCACCCCATCCTCGGGGACCCCCGCCTCCCCCCACTGCCCGCTGTGGCTGGGGAGAGGCTCAGCCCGCCCCGTCCCTGGCCGGAATCTCAAAGCGCAGATCAGTTCCGGGCTGGGAATGAAGTGAGGATTTCAAAGCGGCAGCTTCACATCTCCAAGTTGAGCTTTCTCTCGTCCTGCTGAGATTACCGTGTCCGACCTGCTGGGCACAGGGTGGAGGGCTGCAGCGGGGCAGCCCACAGGAGTGGGGCGACAGCCGAGGGGGCCAGGAGCCGTGGCAGGGCGGATCGTGGGGAGCAGCGGGCCAGCCCTGGACATGGGGACAGCTGGGGACCGGTGAGGTCCAAAGAGGGGAAACAAAGCCGGCCCGGCAGAGAGGAAAGTGGAGAGGACAGATTTCAAAAGAAATTCTCTCCAGGTGTTGGTCCCTCAACTTCTGCAAGGGAACTGGAGGCCACTTCCTCTGTCAGAGTTGGGGTGCACGGGGCTGGGGATTTAGCTCAGCGGCACAGCGCCTGCCTGGCAAGCGCGAGGTCGTGAGTTCGATTTCCGGTACCAGAAAAAAACAACAACAAAGTTGGGGTCCACAACTGGGTGTGGTGACACATGTTTGTAACCTCAGCACTTGGGAGGCTGAGGCAGGAGGATCACAGTGAGTTCAAGGGCAGCCTGGGCTACATAGTGAGACCCTGTCTCAGAGAAACTAAAATAAACAAAGTTGGGGTCCCTTTCTGGCATCCTACTGCAGTGTCCCAGAGGAAGACCCCAGGGGACCCAGATGGAAAAAGGGAGGGACATGACCTCGTGACCTTGTTCCTCCCCGGCCGGAAGGCCAGGCCCCAGTGCAGGATGCAGCTGTAGGAACTACGGGTGGATTGCAGGGCAAACTTCCTGACTCCAAAGAGCTTGGGAATCCCAGGCTCCACCCAGTGCCCGCGAGGCCCAGCTCTGCTCTCAACTCCAGGACTAAGCTGTTAGCTGTTCCCAGAATTCCCTGGGTCGCCGGGACCAGGTTGCTGCCGACCTGTCTCCGGCAGTCACCTCACGGCTTGCCCCAAGCTCCCTAAACTCTTCTCTTAGCTGCAGGGCCCTGGGCCAGCCTTCCAGCCTTGGATTCCCGGCTATGAAACTGTCATGGCTGGAGCCAGGCCTGGTCATCCACACCTGTAATCCCAGCACCCTGGGAGGCTGAGGCAGGGGATCGCAAATCTGAGCCCAACCTGGGCAGTTTGGTGAGACACTGCCTCAAAATAAAAAATTTTAAAAGGGCTGGGGAAGTAGGTCAGTGGAGAGACCCTGGGTTCTATCCCCAGTACCTACAAAAAATAAAATAAACCTCAATAAGATAACATCAGCAGACACACGAGCCCCCATAAAAGTGAGTTTGCAGTATGGAGTCTGCTCCGGGAAAGAGAGGCAGTGGGGTTGTAAGGCGTTTACTGGGGGCTTACTGATCACACAGCTCTGGACCACACAGAGCACAGACAGGGAGAGGCACTTGGCCAAGGTCACACAGCTTCTCTCCTAACCTCAACCTGACCCCATCGCCTACTGGTGGCTCTGTGGGACCCCCACCCCTTCCTCTGCCCAGTCTTGGGTAGGTCATTCAGGGGCCTCTTCCTGGGGGAGGAGGGAAGGAAAGGCCCAGGAGGTAGGGAGACATTGTTCTAGAACATTCAAGCCTTTTCACCCAAAAACCCCCACCCTTATCTTTCTGTTTGCACTAAAGGGAACGTTACCCTCTGTTTAGGAGCCCAGAGAATCAAAGGTTTGATTGTGTTCCAGGACTGTTTTTTTCACCTACTCAGTGCCAGGAAATGGAGAAGAGAGAGAGAGAGAAAGAGGGGGTAGGGAGAAAGAGAGACAGACAGACAGACAGACAAACACAGAGAGAGAGATAGAGAAAGCAAGCAAGCAAGAAAAAGAGTTGAGAGATAGGAAGGAAAAAAACCCACGTGATCCAGGCAAACATTTCCTGAGCACCTACTGTGTGCCCAGCCCAGAGCTCATGTTTCCAATCAATGGGAGAGACACGGGGAATGAGACAGACACATCCTGTACTTCAAGAGGCTGTGTGTGTGTATGTGTGTGTGTGTGTGTGTGTGTAGAGACTGAGACCTACAAAGCCTTACAGCAATCCTCCTGTCTCAGCCTCCCTAGTGGTGAGATTAACATCTGCTGCCATGCCCGGCAATAAGATATTTTTAAAAAGAGAGCGGGATCTATGTGAGATTTCAGTGGCTATGGGCTCCCCCTCGCCCAGCAGCCTCACTGGAGGCTGAACTAAACGCTCACCCTGGCCCAGGCAGGTACAGGGAACACCGGAATAGACCTGGTACAGTGCCAGCACTAGGGCTGGACACTGCCACATGGATAGGTGAGAAGGAAAGAGTCTGGGCCAGCAGACAGAGCCCAAGCGGGGGCCTAGCTCTAAGCTGGTTTAGAGAGTCAAACCACAAAGTTAAATGTTTGTTGTTTTTTTTTTTAGTATCTTTTTTAAAATTTTTATTTTAAAGAGTAAGAGAAGGATAACAATAATGGGGGGGCTTACCGAATTACAGACAAAGTGGTAGGAAATTATCAATGGTTATTCTTTTACATATTATCTACAAGACAGTTTCTCAGGAAAACAAATAGACAAATAATAGTGAGTTACAGACAAAAGAGGTAGGAGATTATCAATAGTTGTTGTACTCTACTTAGGTGTGTTCGAAAGAAAATAAATAGAACTATACATGAGTGACCTATTGAATAATCATTAACTATTCTCAGTGGTTGTTGTAGGAAACACATAATAATAAACATGCATCC